CTCATGAATTATTAATGAGTTCTAGAATGTCGCATCATAGACCTTTGCTAGGTTTTAAATCAGTTTGAATCAATACAGACATGCAGTATAGCATAGACTAGCTGTTCTTACGTGTGGGATCAAAATTCTTTCAATTGTGGCAAATGCACATTCCAACATTTCTCAGATTTGTAAAAAGTTTTTACAAAATTATTATAGTACACTTTTATTGCAGGTTATTCAGTCAGGAGACTGCTAGGWGGTGTTAATATTTTAATAAATGTTCTGTCTATTTTCACTGGAAAAATAACACATTCATGGTATCTYTWAATATAATGGAGGTAAATAAAAGTTATTTTAAAACATAATTTGCTTTTATAGATAATTATATGATAAACAGAATATTACATGGTCCCTTGGAGACCCAAATTTTATCTTCTCRTTTCGAGAATCTTTTCAATACTCTAAATTCTGTATCACCTTGCTCCCATGTAATATCTACTTCTCTTATGTTGAAATCTTAATATTTTCACAGATGCAAAATACATGTTTATCTTTTTTTATCTTGTATATATTCCTCTATACAATAAACTGTATGTATTCATCTTTTTAACAATTTAACCAACTGTAGGACCTACATTTGCATTAGGAGAACACAGGAGAAGGAGCAGGAGCTACAGCTATCTCCTTTCAACAGACTAATTAGTTTCTATGATAATAAAAAACTTTTTCCTCAAGTGAATTCAGGGGCCGCACCCCCCCACTTTTTGCTTCTGAGAAATTAATAATAAAAATAAATGAAAACAGTAAGATGATCGTGATCATAGCTCGACTATACTGTGACGGCATCAAGTTGGAAACGTTAAAGAGTCAACCTCGCATGCCTCCGAACCCCCTATAAAAAATCGCGCCTTCGGGGCTCACGCCCCCCCCCCCAACATATTTGACCGCTCCGGTCACTGGAATTTAGTTCTATTCAATTCAACACTGTACCCAATAAGGGACATCAATATAATATATAAAAAAAACAGAACACACACTTTATGTGGATAAATTGTCACTGTTTTCCAGGATTTTACTTACTGCTTGATTCCTCTAATATAAAATATATTTTCTCTCACTAGGTGAGAAAAAGCTGTACACTTCAATCATGTAGGTAGCATAAATAAATTTTAAAAAAATATTGATTTCTACAACAATTTTAAAGTCATCTTTTTGACTTGTGTTTCTTTTTATGCTTTGACCTTCTTTTGTCATGATCAGCATGTYGATGATTTGAAGAGGTGGGTTTAAGTGATGTTTTATCTTTGTCTGCCTTGTCTAACATYTTATAGCTGTCTTTGTCATGATGTTTGGAAAGTCCTTTGATATTTTGGCTGGAATCTAACAAAAAGTTGAGAATTAGAAGCTGAGGTTCAAGGAAGATTTAAAACTGATGTTTAAAGYAAATGCATTAATTTTATTCAGTGAATTTACAAAAAATCAATTAGTACAATTTTGTACTAAATCTGCAACTGAATCAGAACATTCATCTATTGTTTATTGTAAACATCACTTACTAAATGTCATAAACGTACTACAAAGAGATGAGTACAATTTCAGGTATTACAGTGGTAAGTGTGTTCACTCTACCCAATCTATGAATACCACGTCTCCCCTGTACATGTATAACCTCAATAGAGACACCGATGCAGCTTACAGGTTAATGTACATCTACCTAATGGGCTTTACAAACGGCAGCAACTAATATCAGCAAGASTATATTTGATCATTTTATTATAAAGGCTTCAGCAGAAAGTGTATCAATAAATGCATGAATCATGGCAAACCTTGCTCAACTTTTTTTCGTTTTGATATTGTGGTGCTCCTAAGCATATTGCTAAGAAACCTTTTGTTTGCACGTGGAACTGGTGATTTTTTCCTATAGAATTAACATCAATTACAATTAAATATTGGCAATTAACATTCAAAAATGGTCAAGAAACCATTCTTACCATGCTAGCATTCCCATTGTCTCTTCTCTAATTTTTCCCCTCTTTGCTTCAGCCAAAAGCTCTTCTTGTGCTAGTCTTAAATACATAAACACAAAATTTCATTCAAATATTTCATAAGAACATACATTTTGAAAAGGTGTTATGGAAGGGTGGGAGGGGGGCTTTATGGACTTTTGGGACAACATTGAATATATGACCCTCATGTACACCTTTTAGGGTCTCAAACTGACACCATTCCTTTCAGGGTAATTCTACAAACATTGACAAGAAGGATTATTGAAAAGAGATTGTCATGCTGTTATTGAACATTCCTACATACTACTTTTGTAATGTGACACAGGTAATGGAATGTATGAGTGATAATGATTCTGTGTGAGTGATTATGTAACATTAAGGGGGGGATGGGTGAGAAAGGAATGATTAGAAATGTAGAATGATTAGAAAGATAATATTTACATAAGAGATAGAAAGATGTACCATAGGTGACCAGGTAGTGGTTTTGGAATTTCATAGTCAACTAGTTATGTCACACAATACTGGAACAAGCCTGTGTGGAGCGACTATAGAATACCTGTCCACATTTAATAGGCATGATTATGAGTGTACCTGTGGTCGCTAGTCCCCGTAGTCATTTAAGAACGAGACATATTCATAAGTGTAATATAAGCGTACCCGTGGCCACTAGTCYCCAAAGTAATTTAAGAACGAGATATATTCATAAGTATGATATAAGAGTACCCGCGGTCGCTAGTCCTCGAAGTAATTTGAGAACAAGATGTATTCATAAGTGTGATATATGTGTATCCGTGGTCGCCAGTCATTTAAGAACTAAATATATTCATAAGTATGATATGAGTGTACCCACAGTCGCTATTCCCAATAGTCATTTAAGAACGAAATAAATTCATAAGTATAATATRAGTGTACCCATGGTTGCCAGTCCCCGAAGTCTTCTAAAAAAGAGATATATTCATAAGTTGTATGATATGAGTGTACCCGCGGTCGCTGTTGCTAGTTATGGAGTTCCTGTGCCGAGGCGACTTGGGACCGCAGGTACATTTATTATAAGTCGATGTTATGTAAAAAGGGCATGATATTGTAGGATTCCTGTGCGAAGAATGAAGATGCCTGACCGCTGGGCCGTATATTATATAGCTCCGAAGTCTTTGACTGCCGACTGAGGGTACAGTATGCAAGAAGGCTGTTTTGAGTGGACTGGTATTCTAYAGTCTAACTACCTGTGCAGCACCTGCGCCTAAACCATAAGAAGGAAGGCAGAACCTTAAGGAGGTGTTTCACTGCAGGAAGCGAGAGTGCGATCTATGGGTGTCCACTACCAGGGATGTCTCAAGATTTTGRATCTCAATCGTAAATTGAATTTGGTAGAATGAATCTCAGGGTCAATTTTTGAAAATAACCCCCCACATCCCAGAATAGTTGCTCTTCAAGACTATAATAGTCCCTAAAAGCTTTTAAGAAAATTTTAAAGCCTAAACAGTGTGAGCCACCATTTGAAAATCACAATAATTACATAACATTTCTACATAAACAATACCACTGAAGTGTCCTTTTACCTTTCGAGCTCCTTTTCATCCATGATGAACCAATAAAGTTTAAAAAACGTTAAATGTATTTCTTTCAGCTGGAGAAGTTCTTTCCATCCGCCATGTTGTTTCTGTGTGCCCGCGTAAGACTGGTAATGAACTAGCCCCGGTCTATCGCGGTTGACGGGGCGGCCATTTTGGGGTTGTTTTCAAAGTGCGAATAGCAAATTTCGTTTACGTTATGTCTTCGTTTTCATTTGGAGCACCTAAAACAGGTTTTAGTTCGTTTGGTGCAGTACCTACAACTAATGCTTTCTCGTTTGGCACTCCGTCAACATCTTCTACTGGCACAACGAACATATTTGGCGCCAAACCAGCCACTTCTGCAAGCGCTTTTTCTTTCGGCTCAGGACTGGGCAATACCTCAACATTTGGAGCAAAAACAACAGGAACTAGTACCTTTGGTAAGTTTTTTAGGTATAACGATCGAATACCCTTCACCTTCGGCTTCTTGGAAAGTTCTATCAGTAGATAAGCACAGGGATACCAAAGTATACTATAAACGCACAGGGAYACCAAATTATTGTGCACTAAATCTGTAAACTAAGCGAGTAGCCATTGCGGTGCTACTGTTACGCAGTGGCTAAAGCATATGATTATAGTTCTTATGGACACATGAATACTGGTAGTTGCCATTTGACCTAGTTGGCCTTTTTATAATTATAATTGTTCAATATCACTGTATCTAAGGCCCGGTTCATACGTTGAGCCAGTGTTGCACTGAACCAAATAGTTTGAATTTAGCACTAACGCACACAAATATCTGTTTTGGGAAACAAAAATAGATGTAAATTGTGTGTTATCGGACCTTTTGTTATGMTTTGACTGTTTTTGCTTCGACGTATGAATCAACACCATGTATTTGGGTCGACACAAATTGACTATTTGGTTCGTCGCAATGCTGGCTCGGCGTTTGAACCGGGTCTAATACTTCTACATAAAGAGTTTTTTTTATATAAAGTTTTCAATATTTATTCCATTAAATTACACAGAAAGCTATTTCTCTAGTTTTAGGAAATAGTAAATAATCATCTTTTTGCATACTTGGTTCAATATGCTTTGACTTTTTATTCTGCAGTGAGATAACAATGGGCCAAAATTAAAACAAAAAATCTTGTCAGAGGTTGTTTGATTTCAATGGTGAACTTTGACCTATTTCACTAGCCATAGATTGAGCCTGATCTCCACAGGGAACCCTATTCTCTCAAGAGAACATTGTCTTCTCTAATTTTCGATTGCATTACTTGATTAAACTAGATCGACAATAGTTAGGCTGCCTGTGTTTGTTCATGGCAATTTGACCTAAGAAAATGTGCRTTTAATCTACATGTACTTTATATTACTTTATTTAATAGTTGTCCCTTACAGCTGAGACATTTTCTTAGAAACTGCATAAAGGGTACTACGTAGCCTTTATTGATTTATAGGCACAGGAAATGTACTTGGCAGCACTGCACCATCTTTTGGTAGTACTATTGGTGGAGGGTTAGGTACTACTAGTGCCTTTGGCACACCTGGTCAGTCAACTGGCATTTTTGGCCAGCAGGCAAGAACTACTGCTAATACACTTACTGGTAAGCTTTGACAACCTTTTTACATCATTCCACATGAATTACTGTCTTGGTAAAATGGCCTAGTATGTTATTTGTAATCCCACAGTCTGATAATTTGATTTATCCACTTAAAATTATAGCACTTTCAAAACCCTGAAAACAAGTGCATTCATTATGCACGCAATGAAGAAATGGCACATGTATCTTTAAGAAAGAAAATTTAGCAATATTTTTGTTTTGCTGCATCAGTGGCTGTTTGAATCAATTTACTGTAAAAATTATATTTTGTAGACCACAAACTAAGATTCTTCATAGCATTTTCATTTGCACAATCATGCTCTTCAGAAATATAACATTTAGACTGTGATCCAACAGTGTTACAAAAACATTACCTATGGGTAGATGTATAATCGCTTATTCTTGTTGAGTGTTTAGTGATTATGCATCTGCTTTGCAGGTCTTGGACAGGCAACACAAGTCAGTAATGCAGCAATATCACCTATGGTTTTAATCAACTTAGCTTTATCCAATCCACAAATCCATGGAGATGAAAGAGATGGTATCATTGCTAAACTAAACCAGCTTCAAGCTTACTGGGGAACCGGGAAGGGATATTACAATCAACAGGGCTCAGCAGTTGACTTTAATCMGGAAAATCCATATTGTAGATTTAAGGTAAATTACAGTAATCTATAAATGCACCTATATATTCTATTTTCAATAAATTATTATCCAGTAAAATTGAGATATATCTACAATCTTGGACATAAATACTTGACAATTTTTCACTWGGGCATTACAAATACTGTAAAGTGTGCATCAACTGAAAATATTCACCTACCCTTTCCCTCCCACATCAATGTCGCATGCAGGGGTTAATGAATGGACAGCAACTGAAAAGAATGCCACACAATATTGTATTAGGGGGAAAGGGGGGCACGAGGAAGGTTTTATTGATATATAGTGTGAGGAATGTCGCACGTGTGTAAAAATTGTCAAAATCTATATCCAAGATTGTAGGTAATTATTCCACTTATCTCAGCTAAGCCCTCGTGGATTTATGAGGTTGAGAGTAAAGTTGGGTAGGGGGGTATTGGGGAGTTTGAAGTGGTGCTCCATTCAAATTTCTTGCAATATTGTGGCAGTGACTCMCACAAWGTTCTAAGGCTAAAAGGTGTACAATATTTCCTAGGTTGCTGGATATAGTAAACTACCAACAGCTAGTAATGATGATGGGTTTGTAGGAATACAAATCAAGAAAAAAGCAACAGATGTCCARCAACAACAACAAAACTTAGTTAGTGAGYTACAGAAATATTTTGGTAATAAACCTACCATTATGGTTTGTGTTGATGGACTAAAACCACTCCCTGATGACAGGTAATACATAACATGATTCATGTGTCTAGATTTTTGTTGTGTTGATAATGGGTATTTATTATGATGAATATTTATTATAAGACTGATGATCAAGTTTTCCAAGGAGTTAGGGGAGGGATAGTCTCCTCGCAGCCGTGTTTAGTTTTGGTCACGCGTCACACAACGAGAGGCTGTGTGACGCGTGACCGAAACTAAACACAGCTGCGAGGAGACTAGGGGAGGGACAAATCCCTGAGCTACATGACTATATTAATTCTTTGCTTATGCTATGTGAATATAAAACTCTGAATTTTGATTATTGATTTTCTTGATAAAGATCAATGGTTAATACAAATTGATACTTTACAAATTATAGCTTCTGCTCTATAAACCCATCCAATCCAATCAACTTGCCTATAGTGGATTGCATAAAATCTGGTATCCCAAGTTACTACAGAATATAGTTTTATTATCTGATAGCGTTGTAATATTTCTGACAATTATTATTTCTTTATCATAGCACTGAAGTGGTGTTTAAAGTGGTTGATTATCTGATAGCATTGTAATCATTGAATATTTCTGACAATTATTTCTTTATCATAGCACTGAAGTGGTGTTTAAAGTGGTTGAGCGTGCTGATAATGGTATGACCAAGACATATCCTGCCAGCGATGTTTATACTTACCTAAACCAGGCTCATCTTAAAGTATGTATAACTCAGTCAAGTTTGACTGTAATGCTATGCATATGTAGATCCCCCAAAGGAGCATCGGCAGTATAAATCCAAAGGTTGTGTGCCGAATCACATTGAGGTTGGCAATTATTTTTTCTGATTTATAAAGATTATGAAACTTTCCTGGACCAACTTTGTTTTGCCATTACAGCTGATTTTCTGGCAAGTACGTTTTTTTAATGTTATTGAATCCAGATCTGATCTATTGTCCAAGTCAAAAAATCAATCTTGGTTAATCTTAAATGTTATTGAGTATTGTCTATTAAAAAAAAACTTGAGTTCGCTTGGATTTTAGCATTTGTAATATAAAATCTACTGTCTTGCTTCTTGTTTGCTTGAATAATCAATTTACCCAAAAATGTCTCCTTGATTTTGATCCTAAATGACTTACAAGTTACTGATTATCAGTTATCATATAATTTTGCAGACCCAACTACAAAACTTAGGGGTGACGAATATCACAGCCAAGACCAATATGTCAGTTGACTTACTACAACAGTACCTCAACACTCCTCCAGCAGGTACAACCATAGTGTTTGATATTGTGAAATTTTCTTTTGTATTTTAACTTGAATCTTATAATCTAGGCATTGATGCATTGTTATGGGAGCAAGCTAAAAAAGATAATCCTGATCCACAAAAGTAAGCAAGCTATGTTATTATTGTGTTAACTTGATTATTGTATCACCCAATGAAAATTCAGTTTCTATTTATGTTTTATGATGGTGTAGCACATTAAATTTAAGTATGCAATTTTTTTTCTAAAAAAATCAAAAGATGCATTAGACACATTTTATGGTTTATTCACTTGTGCATATCAGTCAGTATGTTGTACATTGCACAGGAAACCTTGCATACCTGGAAAACTTGAAATGTTTATTTTTATTTTATCAATTGACTATGAAGAATGTACAAAACGTAGTTGAGCTCTGACATGCTCATGACTTATCATCCAAGAAGAGTGGATATAATACCAAATAAGGTCACTTGTTAAAATAGCGGAGAGGTGATGATGATAAAAATATGATAATTTTGATTTCTGCAGGTTGATACCAGTCCCAATGACAGGCTTTGAGAACTTAAAAAAGCGACTTGAGTTTGAAGAGCAAGAAACCACCCAACATCAAAAACGCTTATCAGTGAGTATTGTGCTATTATTCATGTTGTGGTTTCCTCTGGATTTCATCCAAGTTGCCAGATAATGTGATCAASACCAAGAATGAAAAGTTTGTAAAAATTGTTCGTATGTACATCTAGGTGAACAAGGTCATTGGGGTGCTCAAGGTTGTCCTGATAGGCTAGAGGTCTATTGCAATTGTCTTAAAACACAAGTTAAATCAAATTAAAATGGATTTTGAATTTTTTGGTAATTGAAACGATGCAGGAAATGATAATGTTCTGGTCTGCCAGGAAATGGTTGTTGCATTTCTTGCCCCCATCAAATGAATAAAAATGTACTTTTGTACAAAATAGATAAAGAAGTATACCATGGAGACAATCAAATTAAAATTAATTTCTGTTTATTTTTAGATTATCAGTGAAGAGATTGCAACCTTACAGGGCAACCATGCCACAACTATGGCAAAACTTGCACAGTTCAAGAGAAAACACTTAGAACTGAGTCATAGAGTATTAGAGGTATTGAGTGTTGTTGTTAACCCTGTGTTATAGATAATAAGAGTACTCTTARCCTGCATGACAGCTCCTGTGGACTAGGGAAAGACAGAGGAAAGGGTCAGGACTAGACATATTCACCCCTTCAAATGTCTCTTCTTCTAGGTAATGGTCAAGCAAGAATCAATACGTAAAGCTGGGTATTCTGTACAAGCAGAAGAAGAGCAACTAAGGTACTTATGTAATGGCATTATAGGTAGTATCTAAAGTGTTCAAAGTTGTCAAAGTACTTCTTTTGTAAAGCAACAGTATTGTTTGTCTTCCAGRGTACACCTAGAATCCTTACAAGCTGAACTGAATGCTCCTCTTCAGTTTAAGGTAATAATAAAGCTTATCTTCATCAGTATTAGTATTATTGTACTGCCATTTGTATTTGTAGTATTACCAAAGAAGAGTTCAGTTACTACCTAGAATCTCATCTATATAAGTATAGCTTAGAGACTGAATTCAAGGTTACATGTACCTTCTTTCATTCCAGGCACGTTTAAATGAGCTGTTATCTCAAATAAGACTACAGCAAAGTCAGGRTGTAGGCAGTGACAGGACAGAAGGGCGCTACTCTATGGACCCTTCATTGCAAAATGAACTCAAACAGGTCTGTATTTGTATAAATAGAGTGCATGCCACAATTCTTAACTAATTAGCACCTAATAAGATTTAGTTATCAACTAACTAAAAGTGGAGTGAGACATAAACAAATACAATTTCATTTCTGGCGTTGTGTTCATATCCAAGTGATCATATCCAAGCTTATYAGTTATTGATTATTAAGAATTGTTTCAAGCTTTTGTGGTGTACAATCTAAAACTGCACAATCCTTCATTATGAAGGAAATATTATTTATCAGGATCTTTGTCTTGACTGTTACTTGAGATAATRCTAAAATTATATTTTCAATATTTTCTTTTACTTTAAACAGCATCTTGAACAGCAGCAAGAAGGCCTGATGCATCTTATAAGTATTATCAAAGATGATTTAGAAGATCTGAAGACCATTGACCAAGGATTGGGAGAGAGCTTAGTGGTGAGATAGCAACCATAGTATAATTTACTTAATCAAGGTAACAGATATAGATCATGGCTCATGTGGTGAAGACATGCATTGGAGATGGACTACTGGATCAAGTGTTCAGTGGATCAAAGGTATCATTGAATCAAAGAGATCAAAGGATCAATGAATGTATTACTTCACATGACTCGATGGGATAACTGAATCAAGTGGTTATCGGATCAAAGAAATCAAGGAATTACAGAAGATATATTTAAATAACATGTGATCAGATCAGAGAGGTCGGCAAACTATTTTACATGACTCATTGGAACTAAAGTGTTATTTCTGGTTTAATCAAGGAGTTCATTGGAACAAGAGATCATTAGATCAAAGAGATCATTGMATTGACAACACATGATTAGACTATGGTATGGTGAATCTACTCTAGACACTTCTGGTGTTATTTTTAATTGAAAGTACAAGCCTTCAGTTGTAAATCGCATATCTTGGTCTAGGTGCGTAATCAGGCAATCGACGCGCGCGCATAAAAAAGTTAGGAGGATTACAAACTCCTCACATTTCTTCGTTATCCGCACAGCCACTCGTGAGTCAACTTGTTGTATTCATGATAAGTGTGGTTGTGGACAGATCATTTTGTGAATTGTGTATATCTATATTTATATTGAATATACCAGAAACAAAAAAAATATGTACGGAGGCATTCTTTTACCGCAGGGTGGGTCCGAGTAAGGTTTTGCGGTAATAAAAGCCGATTTTAGTTAAAATCGCTATATCTTTTGGTCGTTAAAAGTACATGTTCTATAATTTATTTCTACTATACTGTTTAATATTTACTTTAAACAATTTTCACATACTAGGTTTTTTGGTGACATAGTAAGAACTAGAATATTTGGCAAAGCTAATCCACTACTTATTTGTTTTCAAGAAAGATTTGTACTCAGATGGTCAACAATGAGTAGCAAACAGACTGACGCCTGCAAATCCTTCTCACCGGAGACAATTACTTTCTGTTTAATTTTTTATTAACAACTAAATGTTCTAGAATAGTATTTTTGTCCTTTMAACGACCGGTTCTGTGAATGGCGTTGGTGTAGATAAATTATGCTGTCACCTTTTATTATTATGTTCAATTGGTTTACTATTTCAGTATTTTTCAAGCATATTTTAGCTGCGGTAAGCCGAGTGTGGGCTTGACTGATGCTCGCTATATGAAAATGAACATCTTACCTGTAAGAAAACACTGCTTTTATTATTATTCAATTGGACTTTGGCTTATACCCAATTCATATTCATTGATTTGATATACATAAAGGGTTCCAGCTGTGCGAAGTCGAGAGGACAAAATATTTAAGCGAAAGGCTTACAAACTCTACTTCTTGTGAAAATCTTTCTAAGAGTTCATGTGATGGTGCATTATTTTGTTCTTTTTTAATTGCATCGTGTCTTTCTTTCTCTCATTCCAAATTCACTGGAGAACTACTCAAAAATCCCTGGTCTAAGTAGGGAGGTGTGTCTTCTGGGCCTGATACAGTGTCTGTAGTGGTTCGGCTGGCATGCATTGCGTGGGCCGGTGTTGGTTCAAGTTAGTGCGGGTCAACGGTTTTCTAGTTGGTTTAGAAAATCAGCATTGGCTACTGCCAACGCTAAGCTCCTGCCAACGCTACGCTCCTGCCAGCAAGCTTTTTGAAAACCTTCAACTACGTATAGAAACCCTGCAAATTTTGTACAAATAGTCGTTCCCGCATGAGATATGAATTCAAGACCTAGCTATTTGAGCAGGCAGATACCAGCAAGATTTGTTGCGCAATGTTTCCATGAACACAAAATAGGCAATTGTTACCTCAGCGGCTGATTTTTCAAGCATCTGCAGTTTGAATAACTAGTTCTATATTTGTAATGAAATGCTGCTGTGTCATTTCAATCTGATATGAAAACATTGTATAAATTTGAATTTTTGCGTGATTCTTTTGCTTCACCGTAGGGTATTGTTATCTCTCGTATTAAGTCTTATAAATGACCAAAAACTAGCGTTAAGTGATTCAATCACCTGCATTATGTGTTAATCTTTTCTTCTTATGCAGGTGGTGGCATTTTTCATAAACGCCCTTTCACACCTATCCGGATCGATTTGAAAACAAATGTTTATTTTTGTATTGAATTCCAATTCACACGGAATGGAGTGATTGGAGTGAAGCTTACAACCATTGCTAGAGAGAGCGTCTGGATAGACAATGTTCGATTCCAAAGTCATACACGTGGACTTAAAGAAAAGAAAGCATATACAAAAGGATTCCAATTGAAGGGCTTATAGAGAGTTATTCTTCTCAATGCGGCGGCTTTTTTGTAATGACTATATTAATACAGTTACTAGACCGTGAATCTGACAGTGTGCATTCAAGTCGAATAAGCGCACGTATCACATTCGTCGGGTGTTTTTTTACCCTATCAGTTCCTCTGATGTTTTCCTGTGTTGGTACTTGGAGGACTCAACCATGTATAGTGGAATGTGGTGTTCTAAGTAGGTGTGGTCCTACTTTGCCAGCTAATATCAATGACAAATAAGGCTTGTCTAGTTAAGAATGTTTTACGTTAGCAAAGAAAGTTATTTCATTGTATTTACTTAAAACAGAAATCCGATCATCGCTAAAGCATGTACTTAATGTAGTTCTTACTTATAAATGTAGTGCTTACGTATACTGTACGAGGTATAAGACTAATAAACAAAGTAGTACTTAACCACTTGAATTTGATATTAGACTGATTATCTTGAAAAATAACCAATCCCTTATAATTTAATTAGGCCACCATCCAATAGTAATACTAATGGATTCTCTCACACCGTGTCCGTCCATTAATGACTAACTACCTAGGGACAAGAGGCATCGTAATTAAAGTAATTTTCAGCGGACTGTAAAATTAGTGCTAGTGGTCAAGAGTATAATTCACACCGATTCAAAGCTAATGGATGATCCCAAAAAAATGAGCAGAAATAAAAATACAGTTGATTTTATGAAACACGCCCGGTTTCCTTGAATCTGGCGTTATTGGTAATGCTCTTTCACTGGATTATCTGATAACTGTGAAAGAGATAATGTTACCAGTAAAGGTAGATTCAATAAACCGACTGTAAGTACTATATGATATCAGATATGATATATTTATTATCATTTATCTGATATGATATATCTGATATGATATATTTATTATCATTTATCTGTAATCATTTCTATTGGAGTAGTTAATAAAAAAACTCGCATTATTTTTGATATTATGTGACTAATTATTTCGATACCAGCACTAATTAGTGACCACGGCAATAAATCCGTGAAACAATTTAACTATTAGAGTGTGATAATCAAATGACAATGCAATAGCAGCGTGCTAAGGTGTAATAAAGTGATATCTATTTCACGGGTTTTTCACATCAATCTAACTGGGTAACCGAGTAACAAAATTTGCACAATTCATTGAAATAGAATGTACAAAAGTTCTCTTATACGGTTACGATTAAAGAAGTGCTGAGACAGACGCACTGTACTTTGTCGCTAGCGAAATGGATTAACGCCATTTGTTATATTTTACTGGTCTATCAAAACGTGCTGCCGTCTTTWTTTTATTCGTTTTAGTTACGTCTAAGAAATGACGGCATGTAGTACTCACGCTGGTTCCGTCATACCCTCCCCACCCATTCCCCTTACTTGTAGACTGCAATAGAGCAACGTGCTAAATAACAACTTGATGCTCCCACGAGTTTTCACTGCCTTTCATTCCATTCCATTTCGTCAGAACAATGTCTTTTTTCAATTCTATGAAATTTTCATATTGGTCTTTGTTATTTTCTAAGTTTAATGGTTTTTGTAGTCGTCTAGGCGAGGATCATTAACATCGCATGAATGAATTCCACTGCAGATCATTCTAGATAGATATTATAATGCAGTTTTGGCTCTCCACATTTCACTGGTAATGTTTTGTTCGTGGTATTGATACAAATTCTTAGAATAGCTAATAACAAAGATTGATTATTTAGTGGCAATTAGAAATCCCACACAGAGTTAATCGACATCGCACTTCAGAACAGTGCACTTCTCTTTCGTTGACAATTAAGAATAATTTTTGTTTATTTTTATACCTTTTAAGCACTTTGACCAATATTTAAATGAATTTATAGAGATTTGATTTTTCTGATAACTAATTCAAATTAGCCTGCCGATAAATCACTGGTTTTTTTTTGAAATAAAATGATAGAAATAGCAAAAAAGACATGCGGCCAATCAAAAATCAAAAGAAAGCATGAATTTATCCCAATAAATGTAACAATGAAAGCTTATGAACTCCAATTTTAAATATATCTTAAGTGTACTTTATTTCKCAAATTAGAACGCAATACAATTTTAAATATTGGATATTGTTTTCTTCGTTCGACAGATGTTTAGTTATTTTTAGATCACTTTATTACTAAAGGTTTCCACCTGTTAACTGTATTGCGCGTTCCTTTGGTCGATATCTCTTATGTCATATTTTMGTTGCTTTTTATTTCATGATGACTCCAATTGGCGCCTTTCATGTCCAACTGCCAATTTTAACTTTCATAATAACCATTTTGTGGCTACTTTCTGCTTAAAAACTGAAAGCACCTGCATCCACGTGGTGCCCATGTGAAGAGCATCGGATGTAAAGTGTTCAGTAACATTCCTTTTCCCTCGATATTCAAAAGTACTAAATCATACAATGTTTATAACATTCATGGTTTATTTGCATGAAGTCTGAAACTTCTGCTATTCAATTTTTTGTTTATGCTAATTACTTTCGAACTGCTTATGATAGAGAAATGACGACAATGTTATTAAGTATTTTGCTATTATAGAATTAAGGTACATCTTTGTGCTCAGGATCGTTTATATGAACAGTGAAGGTTTTATATTCTTGGCTTGGGTAAGCAAGCGTGATATTACTGCAGCTAAAGTCTTGGGATTATGCAAATTTCAAATGATTTTGCCTGCTAAACTCTGGGCTAAACGAAGACCGGAAATTAGGGGCTCCAGAGAGGCAGGCTGGGACAGCACCAGGGGAAATCTACTCAGTTCATCTATTACAAAAATAATTTCATGCGAGAAAAATAGATTATGAGAACAAGGAGAATTGACTCAACTTGGTAAAAATAAGACCCTCTGTCGACGTAATCTGATGGGGATAAATGGCTATAATAGATAAAAACTCTTCAAACGTGGTGATCAGGCCTAATAAGTCGTCTCCTTAAAAGATATTTGGATTATTGCGCACTTCTGAGTAATTATTGTCTAAAATAATAGCAATCTGTCTACAATTTAGTATACCATAAATTAAATTCCTCTACAAAAAGTTTGCAAACTTTAGTTAATTTCCTTATTTTTTTCACCTTGCTTTGCCAAAAGAAAATTTAATTAAATTGTCAAACCAATGTGAGTTTGACTGTTTTCAATTGGAAAACCCGATGTATATCTATGCAACAAAGCTAAAATATTAATATAAATAATAATTTTTCTGTCTTTAGTTCTACTCAACTATTCATGAGTGCAATTTTATCAGATTGTCTTCTATTCACGGTCACCGACATCCACACGTCGACGCCACCATCTCACCATACTCTTTAAGAACTATGCTGCCATCCTTTTCAAAGTATAGCATCGTGATAGAGTGGAGTTTGGTCGGCACACAGCACGCTGCTGGTACAGATTTACTGTACCGGTGATGTAACAAATTTTGTATTATTGCGTGATTGGTAGGATCGAAGAATTTTTGGATAACTTCTGGACATACCCCCGTGCAATAGTACATACTAAAGCCCTTAGGAGCAATAATCCAGTTATCCCAAGTCAAATCTTGAAATTTCACAAACAACCTGTGTCGTTTGCACAGATTTGAAGTTGATCTTCTACTTCTTGTATGCACAGACGTATCCGCAGACTTCTTGTCGACGGTGGGGTTACGATCAACCTCTTTGCTCGATTTGCCTTTTTTCTTGGTTGACTTTTCTTCAACTCGAACCCGTTTTGCTTTTTGTAATTTTGCTCTGTCAATTCCAAATTCGACCAAGAATGGATCTTTTCGCCCACCTGTGGCCACATGGAAGTCAGACGGCGGTGCATTATGACCGCGAATTGAGACCCAAAGACCGAAGTTTTTCGATGGGTACTTTGCCCAGTATTTCACAGCTGTAGTGACATTGAATGTCATCCACTCTCCTACACGACGGCACTTCACTAGTGTTGAATCGATCGCTTCCATTTTTCTCTTCCACTTTTTGCTTCCTTTCTCCCAACGTCGAAACAGACGAGAAACAGTGACTTCAAAATATCCACATCGCTTCAATCTTGAACGACGTTTGAAGATTCGAAGCTCGGCATGTGCAACTTTCTCTGACTTCCTTATCGCTGTTACATTGAATGTAAACAAGTGCTTGTGTGGACCGCGTTTGTCTTTAGGCCCTAATCAATGCAACATAAGCAGGAAAAGAGAGAACAGTTAACGAATTCATTACTATTCAACCTATTGTATACAMAGAACATACATCATTTCAATTGGCAGTAAAGTTGACTTTGCATAATCTCACGACATACTAAGATACATACTTCGGAAGAATGTGCGGATAGTTCTTCCAGGGGCGACTCCATCCTTTGTAAATCCATCGATGAATGCCTGCTTTCTGTATAAGTCAATGACATACCGAGGTACTTGATATCTTGTTCGTGAAACGGATGGCTTTTCCTTCACTTCCAGTAAGCTGAGTAAGTCAGTTTTGAGTTGATCAAGCTTTAGCGCCTGATGAAGCGTAAGGCACACCGGAGCGAAGAGTACAAAAACGAAGACGATTTTGAAAAGACTCATTCGTCTACTCTGCAGGATCCCTGTCGACTTACGCGCTATGCTCTTGAGTTTGACACTAAAATCATAGGTATTTATCGATGTCTCGTCCTTATATTGTGATCTTCTATTGACGCGTATACGCCCGCGTTCTAAGTACACGATTCATTCTACACACGCCGGAATTTGAACTGAAACCGCGTATTCAAGGTGTCTGCGCATAGAAAAGCCGCCTTCCTAAGTTGAATGAAGTGGAATATTGAAAGCAGCTCGCATATTATGCAGCTTTTGTTAGAGCCGACGTAAACCGTCTGCCATGTTCAAAGGGTCTCTGCATTTATGATTCATAACAACTATGATCTCATGTCGTGATCAGTAAAGCGAAGCCAGAAGCATTCTGTCAATATTTGTTCTTGTTCATGCGAGAGTGTTTGGTTAACGTGAATGAGTAAAAGTCCAACGAATTCATCGCCTGCTGTGCAACGTCTACCACCCTCTAGACAAACCAATGCTTATTTACCCCATAGATCTAGTATTTTAGATGAGTTTTATTGTATAAGGTATGGCAATGACATTAGAGGAATGTCATGAATGTTTCAACATGTGGGATAGTACTTCTACTGACTACTCGCGCAAGGCAAGGGAGACAGCATGGCACTACAACCTTGCTCTCCCTAGACCTGGTTACAAATTTTACCAGAAACAAGAACATAATTATCTATTTCACCATCTTAAAAGGTTCCTCTTGAAAGAGTGATTAACCTACAGATTAGCGAAGTTTTTCATGTGTTGAAATAATCCACAAAGTGAACATTTCTGACCCAAATATTTCCTTGGAATTCATTTTCAAAAGAACATCGCACTGTAAAAGCATTCTGGTCCTAATTATATCAACAATGAGTGGGGTACAAGGCKAACAAAATAAAACACTCTTATTCTAATACTGTCATCAAAAATGATCTGATTTTCTAGTGACACACTYTCTTCTGTTCATTGACCATCATTGTAGGACTAATTTAAATGACAAGTGTCAATTAATGAAAATAACAATTGCTAAATCATTTGAAAGTTTTGAATTTTTTTCAATTAATCTAAACGCCTTTTTCAAACAGAATCACAATTATAAAGAGTTCTGCCTTTGTGTGTATTGGAATCATGAAAAGCTGTTTTGACACGTCATGGATTAGGCTCGGAACGTAAATAAATTCTTTGTCTTCCTAGGTATTGTTGGCTTCTCTCTGTACTGATTAATTCAAATAAGAGACATTTGGATAGAAAAAAGAGCATTTTTCATCCATTTTCATTTCGTGCGTTTTTTATTTATTTTATTTCCCCCCTTTTTATTCGCAATAAAATCATGGAATCATTTTCAAGATTGTCTTTAGCTTGACTTTTTAGTTTAGAATTGCAAATACATTAAAGTGAGCTACATCGATTTGGAAACAAGTTGCCTTCACTAATTTCASTCTACTACTGACGATAAATATGAGCTTCCGCTTTAGACACATCTACTTCCTGTCAGTACCTTCTTTTTCTTTGAAAGCGAGTGGTTTCAGAGGTTCGAATATTTTTTCGTACTTATTAACGTGAGTCGTATCATCAGTCGAACAAAAATTCCAAATGAATTAATTTGGTAAATCTATATTCCAATTTTAATGAGACACTRCCACAGTTTTTGTTTTGAGCATGTCTTGCAGATTCCTGTTCCAGGGTCAAACGTCGTACTTAACGCGAKTCTTATCAGGGCAGCAAAAATGAATTTATTTGGTAGATCTATATTCCAATTTTAAATACAACGACGTTTTTTCCGCGCCTTCGAAACTTGAAGCTGCGGTTCCGTTTTGTCATTARCGACATTATCCTGAATTACTTCCGCTGTTATGGTGAAAAACCGGATGTAGCGCAGCAACACGTTCGGGATCAACACTTCTATAATGCGTCCTTACTGCCAAATGAACGCAAGCTTAAATAATTTAGCAGGTTTTGTAGTGAATATAGTGTTTATTTAATTAMATTTTCAAGTAATGCGCTTAAATCCTTGCTGTTTAGCTCAGAAATCCTAAAATAAGCAATRTACGGCGACGCCATTTTGTACAACAAAGCATGATGGGAATTGTAGTCCTCTCTCTTTTTATTGCTCCTAAAAAATCTCCACAAAGTGTGTTTTATGTTTTGTAGATTAGCACAACTACTTCTATTTTTGGAAGCAAAAAATCAAAAATGGCTAAGAAGGATGAGTCTTAGAAGTATAACGGTGATATGTATTCAGCGGACATGAAAAGTGCAAGGACTTCATCTCCCATCAAGGATTCCTATTAATTTTGGGCTCCCTGTGGTGCAATTGAGTATCGAGAGAAAGAAAACAGTTTTATCATTTTGACTCACATTGAAGAACTATACAAAATGATTATTATTGGGTCTACTTCAGTAAATACTTTTTCGAGTATCACCAAACTTGGAAGCTTCTGAATGTTTAAAAAAATCATAGATGCTGGGACAGGAAGCCCAAGACTTGGAGCGTGTTATGGAAAAAGTACTCAATTCTAGAAGGTAGGAGCAATAGGGCCTGTGATGTCTAGCAAGTTACAACACTGGGATAAACAAATGGAAAGGTCACTCATTAGGGAATGTTCATGTATTATTCTGAGGGAGGGGAGGGGGGATTCCATATACCGCAAAAAGTTTTATAAGAGTCCCTYTGTTGTCGCAAGGAAAGTTTTCCAATTCTAAAATAGAGCCCTCCGAAAAACAACAACATCAATTTAAGATATAGATTCCATTTTCCCGTGCGTCTGTAGTCTGAAGAAACAAAGATTGACGTTTATCTCCTGAGAACGCTCGTAAATCCGTGACTTTGATCACAACGGTTCTCGACCAATTCAACAGTGCGTAATATACAAATTTTATATGAATGATAACAACAACAATTATTGATAAAACATTCCATGTAAAATAATAAAGGAATACACCCCCCCCCCCCCCCCCCCCCACCACACACAAAAATCTTCCCGCCCGCCCTCTCAAGTAATATATCAGGACATTACCTTACATGACCCGAATTTAGCTTCTCAATAAAACAGCCTTTCTACCTAAAGCAGACATCTGGCACTTCTTTTTCTGAGGTCCCATTTATMATGTTTTATAGATATCGAAATGAGCACGCATAGCAAATATCGAAATTTAGTATTACCAYACTAGTAGACTATTGCAAATCCTTCGTTCTGATTGGCTACGCTACTCAGGGTCTATTTTCAATAGTCCTCGACTAGCAAAAAAGTGACAACTTTTAGGTATTTTTTTTCTTCGGCCTGATGGGCTATTTAACAATTAGACCTCCTCGAGGTCGAGTGGACTATGAGCTAATAGCCCATGAGGTCGTAGTCCACGAGGCCGAGAGGTCTAATTGTTTTAGTATAAACATACTAATCGGTCAAATAATGAAAACAAATTGAAATATCCTTAAAATAATTTATAATTTATAACTTATTTATTTTGATTTTCCCGCGAGTGGTCTATCACAAATTAGACCATTAGTAGAGTAGCCAATCACAGCGCATTATCAGTGATAGACCATTAGTATGTTTATACTGACAGCTCGTAGTCCACTCGCCCTCGAGATCTAATATACTAATATACTAGAAGTAGCTGACAGTCCCTCTCATATCTCTCAGATYCGATCTAGGGATTTTACGATCTTTAGATCATGTCAGTGCACAATCGGCTTTTCCACGCAAATAACTTTTCAACAAGACGATTCTCCGTAGTTTCCGGGTTTCCTGTGTTTCGCTTATSGAGAGGACGCTGGTCTGCCTGTCTGTAAAATTGCTGGCTCAACAGCGGATCCTAACTTCAAATGTCTTTGAACTATTTGAATATTAACTCCGGAAATAGGTCTTGGTCGCATGCTGCACTTAATTTGGTTCAACGGTTAAATAATTTTCGTTCAGGTACATCTCATTTTACAAAAAATGTATAATTATTGTTTTGAGTTCAAGAAATACTGCAGTTCAAGCTAATTATTTATTGATAACTTGCTCACATAAACTTAACTTAAGTTAATAAAGCCCTTTTCAAACTGTCAATCACCTGAAAATATAAAGTAGTGTCTATAAATTTGTTACTGTCCTATCTAGATCCCTTAAAGGCACAGAGATGCTTACCGTTTCTTGTGGATGGTGTACGTGTAGGAACAATTCCTCCATTTGTCTTACCACATTTATGCAGTCATCCTGATGTTTTCACTGTCATTAAGAAACAAGATGGGACACATGATCACGTGACATTGGCTACAGATCTAAATACATTTGAAGAAAGGACTGAAAGGGTTRATCAATTGATGAAGGGCTTTAGAAAGAATGATGTATTTATTACTCTGAGAGGTTGGCGTGATGAGGTAATTCGAAGAATCCATCAAACAGACCTAATCGGCTAATGCGTTGCTATGTATGTTACCACCCAATTCAAATCATGTGGGAAAAGAACTTTTGTTTCTAAGAATTCAACTGTGAAATGAAAATACAACGAACATTGAAACATACTTCCGGGTGGTTTGAATTGGGTGGAAATGTTTAATAGCAACACAGTAACCGATTAGGTCTATTACAGCGTAGATTTTAATGCAGGAGCAGTGTGCAATGCATACACACTTTACCTTTGGATATATTCTGTATTACTTTTTTTATTATTTTTATTATTTTCTTCTCATTAGCTAGATTCCCTATATTTACTATATGGGGATGTTCTGCCAAATAGAGGATGGTTTTTGGGCTTTGCATATTGAAGGCTAATAATGCAATTGACCTTCAGTTGTCTTGAATGGAGATGTACTTTGTATGTTTTCCATRTCCCATACAGGATGTCAATATTTATTATAGTAGAATATCAGTCAAATTAATGAACAAACAGTGAGATCTCATCATTTACAGGAACACTATCTGATATGTCTTGGATAGGATCCACATTTTACCAATTATCTTGGGTTTTAGATTTCATGATCTTGCTGTTTTGAATAAGGTCAGGGGAGGTACCAGTAGAAAGTCATCATCAGAATCTGGATCAAGAACCACACCCCACTGCCCCACTGGCATTCTCGTATTATTATTATCAGTTTTTTCATTTTCTTGCAATTGTTTTGTTTACTAATAATAATTTCTCATGATTAATCCATCATTATTGAGAAATTTAATGATACATTAAGGGTGAGTGGTGGACTACAAGTTGATAGTTCATGAGGCCATATTTAGCATAGTTGGGTTTTACATCTTCAATAATGCTTTACCATTTAATTGTTAACAATAGCTGTTCATGGTCTTGATTTTAGATGTATCCAGTAAGTAGCTCATTCTATAGCAAACCTTTCTTTAAGATGGAAAGAGCAGCAACATGTATGTACTAATTTCTTTAACAAAGTGAATGAAATACAATATTATATTGATGATCTAATAGCTGGTTGGTTTAGTTATTAACTTTATTATTCTTGTGTGAKCAGAGATGTGCTCTAAAGCAGCTAGTAGATACTTTTTTAATTATTTGCAAAGTCATTGCAAATTTGAATTCTGGCTCACTTCTCTAGCTCAACTATTAAACTTTTTATAAAATCTGAATAAACCAAAACTGGCAGTTTCTACAAATGATGAACTTTGAAGGACCATTATGTATTTTTCTCATATACAGAATAGCCATATTGAAGAATTTATGGATGATCAGATTTAATTCATTTTCACTGATTTTGTGTAGCAGATTACGTATATTATCTTGTGTACTTATAGGACCAGAATCAGACAGCAACATTGAACATTTTTTTTGAAACGAAGCAATAAACAAATTTGGTTCTCAGATGTAAGCAAACAATATTTGATATGAAATGTTTCTGAAAGCTGGAATGGGAGCACAGCTGACTTTTATGCTTGCATATATTTATACTATCACTTGTGCTTGCAAATATACCGGTATTCCATTTTTGATGTACGATATAAAAAATATGAAAAATATGAATCCAAATGCTGTTTTTTAATTTGTTTGATTGCAGGTCTTTTRGGAATTGCTCAATATGGAGTGCACTTGAATGGCTACATAAAAAGTGAAACAGGGATATCTATGTGGATTGGAAAGAGGAGTATGTCAAAGCAAACATATCCTGGGAAACTAGACAATGTTGTAAGCATTGAAAATACTTTTTGATTAAATCCTGTTTTCATTTATATTTTGCTCAATTGTTCTTTCTTCATTTTCCTTTTTCTCTATAAAAAGGAATATAAACCTTTTTTAAAGTAGCTTTATTTTAAAACTACACCTACTTGCGAAAAAGTTGTGTCATAGAAAATAGGACATTTGTATTTAGTAAAAAGGAATAAATTAAAAAAGACAAAAGAAGATCACTGAGGCTGAACGCTCTCTTTTGTCTTGTTTTAATTTATTCCTCTTTTACTAAATTCAAATGTTCTATTTTCTATGACAATGTTTCTGCAAGTAGGTGTATATACACCCTTTTAATAAGTCCCGAGGTATTGTGTTCTCCGCACTTGACGTCAAATTTATTCTTTTGAATTCCTTTTGTATTGTAAAAATTTCAAAAGAATAAATTTGATGTCAAGTGCGGAGAACTCGATACCTGGGGACTTWTTAAAAGGGTGTATATAGTACAGGTTATAGTCATTAAAAAGACCACTCCGTTGTTCTTATAGATTTGATTCACTGATAGGTAGCAGGGGGAATCAGTTTTGGAGCTGGCATAAAAGAAACTTTAATTAAAGAGTGCTCTGAGGAGGCATCTATCCCAGAGGACATTGCAGCCCAAGCAGTGCCTTGTGGAACTGTAAGGTAATTTATTGTGATCTTAAATCAACAAACAATGTTATTTTATGTAAAAGGTGGTTGTCACAGCAAGTTGATTTTGTTGCTTCTCATTGTTGTAACTCTTGATTTAAAGCTTATCTTTGACTCTTGACCTTGGTTGCCATATTAAAAATTGCTAATAATTATCTTGAATGCATGTGTCATTATTACTAAAATTTGTTATATAATACAAGGGTAAAATAAGTATAAATAAAATGCGCAACACATCATCATACAAAACCTATTTGAGAATAACATTTTTTTATATTGTTGAAGAATTACTTCATGCTTATGGTGTCCTTTTGTTAAAAATGCCATAATTTCTAAATKATTATCTACCAAACTGTGGACTATCACAACTCTAGCATTGTTATAGCTATTGAACAATGGTATATTCATTGATCATGGTCACACTGAGGTGAAAAAAGCCAAAAAACATTTTCAGGAAAAGTTGCTTAATGTGTATCTTATACTTAGAAATACAATAACATCATTGTTATAATGATAACCATCATTATCCTAAAAGCACTTTTTTATTCATTATATATGGTTGTGATGATATATTGATTAATTTTAATTCTTTATATTAACTGCAAGTATGTTTTGTAATCCAGCTATTTATTTGAAGATGAAAGGGGACTTTTTCCTGAATTACAGTTTGTTTATGACATCTGTCTTCCACAACATTTTACACCCGTTCCCAATGACAAAGAAGTGAGTGAATTCTACTGCTGGCCAATCAACAAGGTATGATATTTTTTAGCTTTGTCATTGTTTTAAGTTATGCAATCATAGAATTATGTGGCAAAATGTG